CACAACTATATTAAGTGACAAGTCATATTAAATAAATTATATGACATTGTTAAATGGTCAATTTTTATTGGATGACTGTGTAAAACCATTTTACACTGTCATGGCACTATCTTTTAACTCATTAAATAATAACAACTAAAATTTATTATCATTCTTGGTCTCATATTGCATTTCCGGTATTAACGTACAATACCATGATGTATTACACACTGTATGTGTCAGGTAATTACTAGTAAGAAACTCATGCTATCGCACATGTTTTGTCTAAATTCTCATTACACGTCTATCAGACCATTATTTATAAAGTATGAATTCATTCTTCAATTAGTTGATATTCACATAGTTATAAATATAGGCTAATAATATGCACAAACTTTTAAACATGATTCATACTTATAATAAACCGTACAATTGTTTCTTTAACTTCAATTATAAATATTATCGCACGAGTTTCGTTTGGATTCAGATTACACTATGAGATATCTCATTTGTCAGTTTTGAAATTTGTTTTAGCGACTATAAACATTCATAGAATCTCAAATATAAACTAATAATATGTACCAATTTTTATGGATTGATCTAATTAGTATTTTCAAATATTTGTAAAGACAATACACTTATTTGATACAATATAAATGCTTAGAACCCGTGTGTGCGTTTATAAAAATATTTTCTCATTTATAATAATATTTGTAACATATTTTCGTTTATAAAAATAATTGTATCAATAATATACTTTTTTTCATTTATAAAGATATTTGTAACTTATTTCCGTTTCAACAAATAATTGTATCAATCGTAGATTTTTTTCTGTTTATAAAAATATTTGTAATTTATTCCCGTTTTTAAAAATAATTGTATCAACAATATTCTTTTTCTCAATTATAAAAATATTTGTAACTTATTTCCATTTATAAAATCAATTGTATTAATAATAGTAGACTTTTCCCGTTTAAAAAAATATTTGTAACTTATCCCCATTAATAAAATTAATTGTATCAACATTAGAATTTATCCCGTTTATAAAAATATTTGTAACTTATTCTCGTTTATAAAATCAATTGTATCAACAATAGACTTTTTCCGTTTATAAAAATATTTATAACTTATTTTTGTTTATAAATACTAGACATTTATCCGTGCGATACACGGATAAATTTTACTAAATTATTATTGATAAGTATTATAATTTAAACAAAAATTTAGTTATATATATATATATATATATATATATATATATATATATATATATATATATATATATATATATATATATATATATATATATATATAAACAAAATTATCTATCTCTAATAAAAAATAAAATAAAAGAATAAAAATTTTAAATTTAAATGAAAGTAATAAACTTTTTATAAATCTCATGAATGAGAATGAAACATATTTTTATAGAATATATAAAATATGTATATTTTAGTTGCATTCACATGAATGATGATTGGAATAAATAAGAGATACAGGATAATGGAGATTAATTTGTTAGCAAACAATAGTAAAACATATCAGCTAAAACTAAGGCAACAAATCAATACACATAATGGCTAATTTAAATATATAATAACTATACAATATTTTCAAATTGTAACAACTACTGCTATAATTAAGAAGCTGCTAGAGGAAAGGATTAAGTAACTGCTGTCGCAGTTACGTGACTGTGCTAATACGCCCCTGCAAGATGGAGGAGTGGTTAACGACACCAATCTTGGAGAGAAGAAATCATGACGAGGCCGAGAGAGTGGTTTCATTAGTAAATCTTCTAGTTGGTGACTAGAAGGTACATGAGACACTTTGAGTTCACCTTTTGCAATGATGTCACAAACGAAGTGATAGTCGATAGCTAAGTGCTTCATTCGTGAGTGAAACACTGGATTTTCACAAAGATATGTTGCACCAATATTATCAGAAAATATGTTCGGCGGATGAGTGATTTTGATCCCAAGTTCTAATAGAAGCTGCGGTAACCATAAGAATTCAGATGTAGTAGTTCCGATTGTGTGATATTCAGCCTCTGTGGAGGATCTCACAACTGTAGGTTGTTTCTTGCAGGACCAAGAAATGACATTGGGTCCGAGATAAACTATATAGGCACCCGTGGACTTTCGATCAATTGTGTCACCGCCCTAACCTGTATCACAAAAGGCAGTGAGTTCAAGATTCTTTGTTGCTACTAGATGGAGACCATGTGAGATAGTGTGCTTGATATATCGGAGAATGCGTTTGAGAGCTTGCATGCGAGTTGCCGAGGGTGCTTGCATGAACTGCGACAACTTATTGACAGCAAATGCCACATTTGGTCTAATGATAGATAAATAATGCAAAGACCTAATAATGTTGCCAAAAGAAGTAGCGTCACATGGAGGTGTATCATCTTGGATGCCAAGGGAGCAAGTAGTAGACATTGGAGTTCCTACTGGCTTAGCATCAATCATATTTCCTTTGTGCAGTATGTCTCGAATATAACGATTTTGAGACATGAAAATTCCGGTGTTTATGGGAATGAGTTTGACAGTAAGGAAATGACTCGGTCTTCCAAGATCTTTTAAAGAAAACTTTGTAGCAAGATCAGCCTTAAATTTATTTAAGAAGCTGATATTATTTCCCGTAAGAAGTAGATCATCAACATATACTAGGAAATAGGTAGTGACATTACTGTGATTGTAGATGAAGAGAGATGAATCTGATTTGCTATTGAGAAATCCAGAAGCAACAACAAATGTTTTTAATTCATTGTACCAGGCTCGAGGAGTTTGTTTTAGACCATGTAATGCTATGTGGAGCTTGCATACATGATCAGATAGTGTAGGATGAACAAAGCCATATGGTTGACACATGTAGACATCTTCAGATATGGTACCGTGCAAAAAGGCATTGTTAACATCCATTTGGATTAAATTCCAGCCTTTTAAAAGTGCAATACACAATACCATTTTGATCGTTTGCAGCTTGATAACAGGACTAAAAGTGTCTTTATAATATATAACTGGTAGTTAATGAAAACCTTTTGCAAGAAGTGCGCTTTGTAACGAGCGATGGATCCATCCGGATCACTTTTCAGGAGAAACACCCATTTGTTTCCAATGACATTAAAATGAGGTTGTGGAGGAACTAAAGACCATGTACCGTTAGTCATGAGAGCTATAAATTATTCAAACATTGCTTGTTTCCACCCGTGGCTCTGCATTGCTTTGGATACACATGTTGGTTCTTCAGCTGGTGGTAGTGGATGTTTAGACACAGAAAAAAGATTCTCTGGTTTGAATATTCTCACTTTTCCACGAGTGATCATGGAGTGATTTGGAATTACCGAAGTTGAAGCTTGAGAAGAAGAACCTGCTGCAAGTGATTAAGATGAAGATGAAACATGTACAGGTGGTGATTGAGGTGGAGAATCTATTGTGGTTTGAGGAGGGGTATTGATGGGTTGATTGGAAGGAGGGTATCACTTTGGGTTAAGGAATTTGTTGGTGATCTGGATGAGGTGGGGGTGGCTGGGCGAGAGATTTGAGTAAGGTTAGTGGGGCTAGATTTTGAGATTGGTGTTATAGATGTTAAAGGTTGAACACCATAATCTATATTGGTAGAAGGTTGTTTATAGTCTGGATCAAGGTGAGATATATGTGGTGGTTTATTTTTTTTGGGTGAGTATGGGAAAATGTCTTCTACAAATTGAACATGTCTAGAATGGTGGATTTTGTTGTTTTTGAAATTGAAGCAAATGTATGCACTTTATGTTAGAATGTATCCAAGGAACAAGCATGGTTCAGATCTTGGTTCTAATTTATTATTTGTGTATGGTTTAAGCCAAGGAAAGCATAAACACCCAAATGTTTTTACTTTTGTGTAGTTTGGAGGTGATTTAAATAGTACATGGTATGGTGTGCTCATGTTAAGACCATGATTGGGTAACCGATTAATTAGATAGGCTGCTGTTTGAAAAGCATATGACCAAAAGTTGGAAGGTAGGGAGGCGTGGTTTAGGAGGCATCGAGTAGTTTCAGTGAGGTGACGGTGCTTTCGTTCATAGAGACCATTGTGTTCAGGGGTATGGGGTGGGGTTGTTAAGTGAGAAATGCCATTGGCTTGTAAGAATGGTCGGATTTTTATAAATTCTCCACCATTGTCAGAGTAAAGGGTTTTAATTCTAGAGTTAAATTGTCTTTCTACTAAGTTTTTAAAAATTGAAAATATTGTTGAAACATTAGATTTGAGTTTTAGAGGGTAGAGCCAAACATACTTGGAAAAATGGTCCACAAAGATTACATAATAACGAAAACCATCAATTGAATTTACTAGAGTCGGTCCCCATAAGTCTGAGTACAAAATTTCCAAGGGACTAGAACTCGAAATAGAAGACCTTGAAAATGGTAGTTTATGATTCTTATTAGAAAGAAAATCTATACATTTATTAAAGGAACCAGAATAGGAAATATTGTTTGACTTGAGGGCGTGAAAGAGAGTAGGAGGTGCATGATGATCGAGTCTGTGGTGCCATAGTTTGAGTGAGGAGTTGGAGAATGCATAGGAAATTTGCGGGGCTGGTGCGTTTTGTTGAAACCTGTACACATTATCTTCATTCAACCCCCGCAGAAGAATCTCCTTCGTATGCAAGTCCTTTACCTCGAAATGCCAATGGAAAATTCAATAGAAACTTTATTTGTTTGGCATAGTTGAGAGACATATATCAAATTTTGAGTAACATTTGGAACATAGAGAACATCTGACAACTTTAAGGAAGAATTATTTGTGGAAATATTTGTGGAACCAATATGAGTAATGGGAAGTTGATTACCATTTGCAACTTGGAGATTGTCAGATCCATGATAATCTTCTTTGATGGATAAATTTTTCATGTCATTGGTAATGGGGTGGGATGCGCCAGAATCAAAGAGCGATGAGGGTGGAGACGAGTGAGAGGCCACTGTTTGTGCAACATGCGCAGTAGGATGGCGAGGCTTGTTTGGGTAGCCATTAATCTTGTAGCACTATTTGGCTGTGTGGCCAGATTTTTCACAATATTGACATATGACAACATTGTTATATGTTGGCTTCTTAGTGTTTGGGAAAGTTTGATCCTGACTATTATAGTTGTTGCGACTTTGTGAATCATGGTTATGGTGATGAATGTTGCGGCCGGTGTGATGGCGTCCTCGATTGTAGCCGTTGTAATGACGTTGTGCAATTTTGGAAGTGATGGGAGCTGGTGCCGAGATCTGTTCTTCTCGCTGCAAAAACATCTCGAAATCCACCAATTTGTCATAGAGTTCGTTAAAGGCGATTGATGAGTCACGAGTGTGAATAACAGTAGTAAAGTCCCTGAAGGTCAGTCCAAGACCATTCAAGGCATGGATAACCATTTCAAGGTTGTCAATAGGATGACCAATGAGGGCCAATTCATCAGCAATATTGCGGATTGAATGCAAATAGGTTGAGGCAGAGGAATTCCCCTTAGTGATTGAACTGAGACGTTCTCGGAGTGACATAATTTTGGACTGCGATCAGTTTGAGAAGGCACGAGCAAGAGAAGTCCAGGCGTCATAAGACATATCTGAAGTCGCTATGACAGATCGTGCTTCAGAATCATAGGAGCCAAGAAGAGCAAGATAAATTAGTTTATCTTGTCTGATCCATAAGGAATGATCAGGATTTGGTGATGTAGTTTCACCGGTAACAATAGTAGCAGGAGGACACTTCTTTGTGCCTGTAACAAAACCTTCAAGGTCACTAGCAATGAGGAGTGCACTGCACTGTTTGTACCAGGCAGAGTAATTGGTTCCGCTTAACTTAATTGGAAGGTGAGAATTTGTGTTGAATTCCATAAGTTCTTTAAGGTTAGAGTTGTTGTTTGGTGCTGCCATGATAAGGATCAGTAAAAAAAAACTGTGAAGCAATGACTATTCTGATACCATATAGAATATATAGAATGTATATATTTTAGTTGTATTATTCATATGAATGATGATTGGAATAAATATGAGATATAGGATAATAGAGATTAATTTATTGCCAACAATAACATAACAGATCAGCTAAAACTAAGGCAACAAATTAATACACATAATAACTAATTTAAATATATAATAACTATATAATATTTTTAAATTATAACAACTACTGTTATAATTAAGAATCTACTAGAGGAAATGATCAAGTAACTGCACTGTTCTAATAATATTTGTTATAAGTTGATAAAAATATGACACTACATTGTAAAAACTATATAAATACTTTAAATTTTAATTTAATATTAGGAAGTAAGACGCAAAAACAAAATTGACTATCTTTAATAAAAAGGGAAATAAATTAAAATGAAATTAATAAATATGTTAAGGATTCATGAATGAGAAATACTTTTATTATAAATTGATAAGAACATGACAATACACTTTAAGAATAAAAGTTACATTATTATTTAAATTATTTATTTTATTAATTGAAAATGTTAAATATTATTGTGAAAAATAAGAATTATTTAATGAATTAATACCATTTCATCAAGTAATATCATCTCTAAATAAAATTCAAAATATAAACAACAAAAATAAATATGGTCTTAATATGAAAAAACAAAATACATGAATCTAGATGGTTTTCTTATGAATGGCTATTAAATTGATTCTTAAAGTATTATAGCATGTGTTAGAAAAGCCTTTAAAACAAATCGATTTAATGTAAATATACAAAGAAACACTAATTTAAAAAATGCGTTAAATGAGATACGTTTTACATTATTAGTTACAATGTCTTAGAACTTTCATAAAGTGTTAAAGTAAATAAATAAAACACATAAGATATATGTTTATCGAAAATATTATGATTTGGAATTTAATCCCGTAAAATGGAAATTATGAGCAAAACTATTTAATGAGTCAATTGAAATTGAATTAACACTATAGTCCAAAAGCAAATAAACTCAATTGAAATATATAAATTGCATTCTCCCATACAAAACAAACCTAACAAATAGATAAAAGAAGATTAAAAAAAAAAAGAGAAAACACAGATAGAGTAAAATATATGGAGAAAGAGAAAATACATAGAGGTTTTACTCTGATTCTTTGCAACAATAACAAAAATAAAAATTATAGTTGTAATTTATGTCGGTAGTGTTATATATATATATATATATATATATATATATATATATATATATATATATATATATATATATATATATGGTTTCTGTTGTAGATATGGTTACTAAATAAAGGTTTTGGTGATTTATCTACTACATAACTGAGATTGAAAGATGTTTATACACTTTCAATCTTACCTTTTCGATTTTTTTTTTGAATAATTAGATATTAAAAAGAAATTTCACAAATAATCACGTTTCGAAAAAAATTACGCAAATAACCATGTTTCAGATGACTCTTCAAAGGAGGAGCCATCTCACTTGGCGCCTACACCTATTTTTTAAGGGGAGGCGCCATCTCACTTGGCGCCTAGGTACTTAGGGCTTGCCCTAAGCCAAGTGAGATGGCGCCTTAGTGCATTTCTAGGGAAATTTTCGCGTTTTTTTTTTCAATCCGGTGCGTTGCGTATTCGATACAGGATCAACAAAATTGACTTTTTATTAAAAAAAATGATTACACCCATAAGTATTACTTAAAAAAAAAACAGATAAAAAAAACAGATAAATCAGTGGTCCCCCGGAACCCGGTAATGACCCCCGGTTCCGCATCCCCGTCCTCGCCTTTCCCGTGTTGGATGTCGTCGCGTTTCCTGCTGTGGTAGGGTCGATGGTCCATCGAAGTCAATGCGTTTCGGATCCATGAAATCAGTCAGACCTCCATATCTAGAAGATCCGCTTTGGTACAGTCGGTTACCCATACCCTCAAAGTTTGGTCGTGTTGGCGGTGGGTGGGGTTCCATGGTGGGTCTGTAGCATTGATCGTTTGAGTACAGGGGTAGAAAGGAAATGGATCTTGGGGTGTTTGGTATTGAGGATGTTGGGTGGTTTGGTGATACTGTGGTTGATGGTAAGTTGGGTCAGTTGGTTCATAATCTTCCGACATTCTCAGATCAGGGCTAAGGCTGGATGTTGAGGGGCCCATATTGGGATATACAGAAGACTGAAATTGTGTGTGGGGTATGCGGGTGTATCGGTATTGTGATTGGAATTGCGGTTGGGTGTGAGGCATACGGGGGTATTGGTACTGAGGTGGTGATTGTGGTTGGTTATGGGGCATTTGGGTGTAATTATGTTGTGGTGGGGACTCTGGTTAGGTGTTTGTGGTTCTGTTTTGTCTGGGGGGTTGGTGGGAGGTTGATGTGTGTTGGGTTTGTTGTTGGGGAAACGAGGGTTGTGCCCATTGTGTTCGTGGGTCAACCAAATACCTTGGATGAGACACGTGCATTTCAGGGTTACTAACCGACCTGTACCAAGATAAATACTGATCCGTGTGTCGCATATTACCATGATTGAGGAAAACCGGGAATTACAAGACATGTCGGTGACGCCTCTTCCACATCTTACACCATTCTGGAGCAAAGTCTTTCCAGTTGGTAAGACCCCACTGGGCGTCAACCCTTTTGAGATGCCACGGGGACAAACAAGTCGGATCACTTGGTATCTCTTGATGCATTCCGAACTGCATCTTCACACGGTCGCTGTGGTGCATCTCGACAATATTGAACCGTATGATTGCAGTCTTGGCGCTCCAAATTGCTGCATCCTCGGGGTTTGGTTCATGGCCCAAACCCAAATATGGTCTCCAGACAAACTGCGCAAAAAATTAAATCAGGTTAATGAAAATGTAATATATAAATAATTTAAATGTAGAAAAGTTGAAAGGTACAACGTACATCATTCGGGCCTAGGTGATCCAACAGATTGCGGTATAGTGTGACATTGAATCTTGGATTCTTGCCGTAATCCATACCCCTCACGCAATACCTAAAGGAAAAGAAAAACATTTTATTTTTAGCATATATTTGGTGAAGAGATGAATAGTAATAAATGATATAACTTGATGACTTACTTTGTTGCGTATAGGAAAACGAATGTGTTGTTGTTGACGGGGTTTAAGGACTCCATCCTCCACCAACCCCAGGCTTGAAGTAAAAAAGCGCAGCCATAAAATGTACATTTTTCCTTGACTGCATTTTTGCACAAGGAACTGTATAGGTGGGCTAAAACTGCAGAACCCCAACTATACTTTCTTGTTTTTTCAAAATCTCTAAGTAAATGTAAATACATAAAATTTACACTATTTCCCGTACTTTCGGGAAATAAAAAGGTTCCAAATAGTATCATTAGATAAGTTCTAGCTTTTATTACCCTGTCTTGCTCGGAGGAATTTTGGTTTAATTCCAAACTTGCATAATGATTTTTAAGCTCAGTGAGTAGTATACCCTGACCTCTCGCACCACCACCTTTAACCATATCCCTGCCCAACAATTCTTCACACAGAGAATTGGGTTGTTGAACCGACCCGTTAACGGCCTTACCGTCGACAGGGAAACCCAGTAACATGTACACATCCTCTAGCGTGAAGGTACATTCACCTATTGGTAGGTGAAATGTATGGGTCTCCGGTCTCCACCTTTCCAACATTGCAAGAATGAAGTTTGAATCAATTGTGCAGTTAGAGATCTTTATAACATGTCCAAAACCTGCGTATTCCAGATATGGTACGATAAATGGGTCGAGAGCCAGGTAGTTGTGAGACCGGATTCTGAATCTTTTGGTATCCTGAGTTAATAATGTAAAAGGTGTAAGATTAAGTAAGATGAACAAAGCATTACCTGAAGTATAAAAAATGTATAACTAAAATAGAAACTTACAAATGGGGCAATATTGTCCCTTGTGCCTCTGTGAGAATCGCCCATTGTGAGAAGAGCCATTGTTGAAAATTCTTGAGATTATGAAAGACTTAGAAAGTGTAAGAGATTATGAAAGACTTTATAGCAGAGAGTGAGACGATTGTGGGTGTGAGAGAAGTATGTTATGCTCTGTATTTATAGGCAAAAAAAATTCATAAAGTAAGTGAGGTGGTAGCTGGTGCATGCATGCATGATAAGTGTCACTCTTGCAGAGTAGGCGCAGCTAGGTGGAAGCCTTGGAGAAGGCATCTCTGCATGCATGTAACACGATTGGACATTAAGGGAGGCGCCATTAGACTTGGCGAAAGAGTTCAAAAATTAAAGTTGTCGCCATCCCCATTGGCGAATAAGAGGTGTCATGGTTTCCAGAGTAGGCACAGGCTACGTGACATCCTTGGGGATGCCATGCCTGAATGCATGTAACACTATTGGAGGTGATGGGAGGAGACTTAGAAGTAACAGTGTAGGTGCATAGTAGGCGCAGTTAGGTGGCAGCCTTGGAGAAGGCATCTCTGCATGCATGTAACACGATTGGACATTAAGGGAGGCGCCATTGGACTTGGCGAAAGAGTCTAAAAATTAAAGTTGTCGCCATCCCCATTGGCGAATAAGAGGTGTCATGGTTTCCAGAGTAGGCGCAGGCTAGGTGACAGCCTTGGGGATGCCATGCTTGAATGCATGTAACACTATTGGAGGTGATGGGAGGAGACTTACAAGTAATAATGTAGGTGCAGAGTAGGCGCAACTAGGTGGCAGCCTTGGAGAAGGCATCTCTGCATGCATGTAACACGATTGGACATTAAGGGAGGCGCCATTGGACTTGGCGAAAGAGTCCAAAAATTAAATTTGTCGCCATCCCCATTGGCGAATAAGAGGTGTCATGGTTTCCAGAGTAGGCGCAGGCTAGGTGACAACCTCGGGGATGCCATGCCTGAATGCATGTAACACTATTGGAGGTGATGGGAGGAGACTTACAAGTAACAGTGTAGGTGCAGAGTAGGCGCAAATAGGTGGCAGCCTTGGAGGTTAC